AGGCTGGAGTGCATTTAAACACAACACAAGTTTAGTGTCTGAGTCTGTCTCACTCATCACAGATATCATGGTGGTGTATTACAGCTTTGCATCTTATGTTGTCTACAAAAATGTCTTTGTTGAAGGGGAGTGGCCATAAAAAGTACTATGCTGTGTTACAGAGTAGATGCCACTGAGTTTTAAACATCCTGCAAACATTCCTTGTTTATATTTTAGACAGTGTTTATCCTTTGGCCCAAAAGAGATGGAAGGAAACAACCCAAATTCATTCCTAGTCTACTTTGTATCAATAAACAATCCCCAGATACCTAGGATTTGTGTCCCACAATGGATAATGGTTGACAAGACTGCCTAATTAACAGACATTCAACTTTTAATAAAGGCAGTAAATAAACTTACTATATTTTGGACCTCTTCATATTATGACTGATAAAGACTGTGGGCTTTGTGGCTGAATATTAGAATATAACTCACTCTACTTTCTATACCACTCAATTTCCTTTTTGTAACAAATATGAGGGGAATAATTTTTATACCCTCAAACTCAAAACATTTTCACAACTAACTGTGAGTAAATATCAATATCCTATTAATAAAAACATTTTCACAACTAACTGTGAGTAAAATATCAATATCCTATTAATAAGAATATAGGTCAGGGTACCAGTTTTCTAGCTATCTTTTTAACAACCATAACACCATTCTTAATACACCTAAATAATGTCATCATTTATGTTATTATGATTTAGTGCCCAAGTTCACACCACAGGCTTGTCTATACCACGAGGGTGGTCTCATTTACTGTAGTGAATAATGATATAATTCAATATCTCCATGTGGAAAATACATATAAAAATCATCCCTTTGTTCTGAGGGCGATTCTTAAAACACATGTCCCAGGTCTGAGGAATGATAAGATGGTCCACACTGCATTCCTATAATTCCTGCACATAAGACACAGAGGTATGAAGAGTAAGAGTTCAAGTTCAGTCTCAACTACATTGCGAACTGTTGGCCAACCTGGGCTATTCTAGTTCTAACTACATTCTAAACTCCTGGCCAGCCTGAACTACACCCTGAAACTTTTTCTCAAGAAACAATTCTCTTCCCTATTCACTTAACAAGTAGTCACTTCCAGGCCAAGTGTAAGTTTGCCCCCTTAATCCCAGCACTTGGGAAACAAGGACAGATAGATTTCTACGAGTTCAAGGCCAGCCTGGCCTACACAGCTAGTTACAGGACACAGCTGTCTCAAGAAAAAGATCCTGTCTCAAGAAAAAGAAAGATAAGTCACTTCTTATTGTAGGTGGACACAATAGACACCCCCCACTTCTTTGTAAAGATTTTAGATAGGTAAGTTAACATTTTTAAAAACTTACTTCACTCAAAACATCTATTAATCTTTAAAGAGAAAACTCTACCTAAGCTATGAAGATTTTCTACATGTTAAGTTTTGAAACCATTTTTAATTTAAAAAAATATTAAAATTATGCTTGGGAAAGTTATGGGTACAGTGTCTGGCTATGTAGCCCAGACTACCTTCCCATCTCTCAATTCTTCTGTTTCAGCTTTCTGAATGCTAAGATCACAGTTGACACCACCACACCCAGTCCAAAACAGTCTTAAACTAATAACAAATTCATCCCGTATTACACATAGTTATTACTGTGGATATTCTCATAGTTCTTAGCTTACTTACACCCTGAAAGGCCTATATATCGTACAAACTGAAGAATATTAAAAATAAAGATCCAGGCATGTTGCCCGCATTACTGATCCCAGCACATGGGATGAACAGGCAGGCATCTTTGTGAGTTCAAGGCTAGCCTGTGACCTCTGCAAACAGCCATGCTATAGAGTGAGACCCTGGGAAGGAGGGAGGGAGAGACAGAGGGAAAGTGGGAAAGGTAGGAATGCTAGGAGAGAGGGGGAGGGAGGAAAACAGTAAATATGAAGGAAGAGATACACTTCTACTAAAGTCACCCGCTGTCCTGAGGACAGAGGAGCTGATGGACTGGGAATCATGACACACTTCTTTCTTTAAATGTGAAAGCTATTAAAAGTAGCTCCATGGTGATCCAGGCCTGTGTTCTGGACTTGTTTTGTCCATGATCATTAAAAGTAAATGATCTGTGGGACAGACGTGAGCTATTCAGGGGACTTGTCACTCTCCATGACTCAGTTCTGGGGCTACAACCTTCCTAAGGACTAGGCAATCACTTATTTGTATCAAAAGTCACAATTAATGTGAGAGTGACTTGAAGGCAAGGAGCTAAAAGAGGATATATTTTCATTTCCAGTATACAGGATATAGTAGAATATACCAGAACAATCATTTCCAAACTAATACTATTTAGAACTATTTAGTTCTACCTACAGTAAAGAATTAGTTTAAGATGATTTAAAAAAAAAATTAAAATTAAGAAGGCCACAGGTTCTGTAATCCTAGAACTCAAGAAGTTGGGACAGGAGGAACAGAATTTGAGGCCCTCATGTGCTACAGAATAAATTCAATTCGTTGTTACTAGATAGTTACATTGGAGAAAAATGAGGAGCTACTCTATCTGATGAGTACAGTTTTTAGCTGAGAAAATGAAATGCATCCAGATGGTTGAGGATGTAGCTCAGTAAAAGAACACTTGCCAAGCACATGTGGGGGCCTGGTTTAAATCCCCAATACCCCACAACACACATACACACACACACACGCAAACATGAGTGTACATGCTCTCTCTCTCTCTGTCTCTCTTTCTCTGCACATACACAGCAGCTCTGGGTCTGGAGATGCATTAGTGGCAACAACTGTACAATGTGGCCATATATTTAAAAGTGGTAATTATGATAAGTTTTATGTATTTTTACAGTAAAAATCTTTAATGTCATTAGTCATAAGAAAAAAAGCTACATGAAACAAGAATGTATTATTTGTTATAAATTCTTGTTCATCTAAGCCAATGGTAAAACTCCTAAAGCAAGGACATTAAATAAGCATTCAATTAGATTAAGTGAGTCATTAACATAACAAAACCACTCCATTACTACAGATAGTCCTAAACTATGCCAGGAGACTATGCTTATTAAAAGAATCCTACAAACATGTGTATGTATTATATAAATAGATATACATGTAACACACAGCATATAAACACATATGCATCTACATACATGCACTTATGGCCAAACCAACAGTTCATTCATACCCCTATATTGTTATCAGTCAAATCGTAAAATTGATTGTGGTAGAGTCCATTCATAATGCAGATCTGAAAAACACTTTACTATAGAACCAAACAGATTTGCACAGTACCTAAAGCTATAGAAATCGCTGTAGGGTTGGGCATCTACTTTTCTTGCTCCCAACCCACACACTGCCTCTTAACCCAGAAAACAGATTTCTGTGTGCTTACCACCAGTCCTAGGACAAGGGTGCGAACTCTTTCTCCAATCTCTGGTGAAATGTCATTGCCGAACTGCTGCAGGGTAGTAAGAAACCGTTTCAGCTTGCTGAGTTGCCTAGCACCACAGGCTGGGGGCAGCTGTTGATTAGCCAGAGAAGAGGAAGAGGAAGAGGAAGGCCCGTTGCTAAAGCCATTAGGCGGTGAGGGGGCGCCATTCAAGGCCGTAGGTGAATGGCTGGTGCCATTGGTTACTGTCAAGGGCACAAAACCAAAAGGAAAAAGTAAATAAATGTACAAAGAGAATGAATAGGGAATTGCCACTAAGGGTCCCTGCCCTGAAATCTAGTGGTTATGTAATTTCAAAACTATTGGGACATTTGGCAAACTGCTCGGACATCACAGCGTCACCACACTCAGGTACTCTGCGAGCTCAGAGTCTCCTCCTCACAGTGAGGGGCAGCCTGATGCACAGAAGCTGATACTAAATGGAGCCTGCTGCTGCACGGAGCCAGCCCTGCCTCCCATGTGCACATATGCCAACCACCTGAAATGCTTCAAACACAGCACAAACAGCTTTGGATGTCAGCCTTTGTCACAGGCTCACATCAACATAACAGGACGGTTTCTCCCGAAACTGCTCCCCTAGAGAAAGTGTACATTTGCTGTGGACTAAATTTATCACTGAGCATTTTTAATCATGTTTTGTACACACAACTGACAGCTGTGTTTATAGGAAGAGGACTTTCAAGTTTTAACCTTATACCACCCAATTAGAAGGCTATTTTCTTTCCCTCTTATTTCTTAACCATTTATTTAGGGGGAAATGTAAGTTTTACATAGAAAGATAGGAAGAAAAAAATGGGTTGGGATTTACTGAGGAGTTATTTTAAGAAAGTGAAAGGGGACGCTCAGTTTAACCCAGAGCATGGATTAGTAATAATTTACTAAATTCATTTATGATAAAAACATGTTTGAACATCAAGATGATGTCTATGATAATTAACACAGAAGTGGAGGTATGTGGTGAGACATGCTTGGCATCCCAGCACTTGGGAGACATATGCAAGAGAGTAAAGGGTACAATGTCATCTTAAACTATATATATTTATAATCTCAAGTCTGAGGCCAGTTGAACTACACAGTAAGACCCTGCCTCAAAAGCGGAACATAAAATTAAATGGTCTTTAATCTCAAAGAGGAACAAAGTAACCTACTGGGCCTTGTCAGAGTAGACATGTGCCTGTCACCATGACTTTGGATAATAAACCACATGATGACAGGTTACAACTTGGCATGTCAAAGCCATACACATTTGGAAAGCTCTTTTGAAGGGCAGGGTAGCCTGCACGGATGCTTAGGATATGTATCTGTAGAGACTCTCACAGATCTATTTTTGCCTCTTAGATATTTTTCATTCATATGGTTTCATGGCACATCGTCCATTAATAGTATCATCTATGACAGATAAAGATTTCTTAGCTTCACAAAGCTTTCATGACCATTTTAACCAAAACCATGAGACTGATTAAAACCGTCCTACAAAGTGCCTCTGCTAGAATGGGAAAGTTAGTTGGTAGTCACAATTTTGTATCCTTTTCTGGGATGCTCCAGGAGGAAGGACACCCCCCAAAGACTGGACTCAGAAAACAGGACTTGAGCTAAATGCAAATGGAGCAAGGTTTGATAAAAGCCTGGTAGGTTCGTGAGAAAAATTCATGCTGTTGAATTCAGAAAGTTTCTATAGGTAACTGTGCATCAAGCGATGGCCTTTTAAACTTCAGAATGGGAACTTAAAGAAAAAAAAAAAAAAGCATTTGTAGCTATTTGACATAGAAAAAAAAAAGCAAGGTAGAAGTAACTCGAGATAATTATAGCACATTTTTATGTTCTAAGGGAAAGTGAACAACCAAAATAAAGAGCTCTACATTAACATGAATTAAAAGTCATAGGCATAACTACAGCAAGAGAACAAATGTAATATTATTCATTTGCCCAAATCGCATCAGATTATAATGTTGAAGTAATAATATAAAGGCAGGCAAATATTCACAGTTGTACCAATTATACCTAAAACATGACACTTTTGTTTGGGTTCAATAACCATTACCTACTGGCAAACTTTCAAGGTTTTTGAACTCAATTCTGTATAATGCATTGATACCAGATTTTACTTTTCTTTGATTGTTTTTTTATTTTTTCATGTGCAGAACAATTACAATGTAACCTTCAAAACTGAAAACGTCAATTCCTAACTGAGTACTTACATGTTGTTGGCGTAAATGAGCTGGTTCTGGGAGCTCCTTGAGTGGTTGGGGGAGGTGGCATTGCTGGAGGAGTCAGCCTAGATTGTGTCTTCACATCCACAGGTGAGTCTGGCATTGTGGAGTGCTTCTCAGTACGATCTGGGAATGCCACCAGGAACACGTTATTTCACTCTTTAAACACCCCAGTTCCGCAACTGGGGTTTGTCTATTTCAGAAGCGCACAACGACAAGAAATTCCATGGCTTCTATCAGTAAAATACGCGTATCTATGGAAGTTTAAGGCGGCAATTTTTTCAATCAGGCCCCACTTGAGAAGGTGTAGCACAGACGGCAGGACCTCATTTGTTACCAGGCTATAGAATACCCTATTGTTATTTCTGGCTTGGCAGATGCTGTCTTCCTAGTGTTATATGCACCAGCACAACTTCACTCGGCACTGAAGCCAACATTAGCGAGGAGTAGAAATCAGCCGAGGAACACAGACGATAATGAACCCCTCCTGACAGCTCAGAAGCAACAGAAACACAGTTAGGTTCTAGCAGAGGTAGGCTGTTCTCAGTGCATTCCTGCAACACCCCCATCCCCGCCTTGCTTAGTTTTCTGGTCGATTAAATGAAACAAGGTATGTTCCCCAGATCTTCGATTTTATCTGCCCTACATTAAAAATGCTCTGTCTACACTAAAGTTAAGCTATTCTTTATATAGAAAGTGTAAATTTAGGGCCTGTCCCATTACAAACATGAGGCTAACACTTCAATTGATAATCTTAGAATTTGAAAGTCCCAAAGTAAAAACGGATAGCTAGGAGGGCCATGGAAAAACCCTTAATTACCCAACGATGACCATTTATGTAAGCCCAAATTGGTTTTTCTCTATATATATTTCCCCTTTCTCCCATGTATACTTGGTGCCTTGAGACAAGGTTTCACTCTGTAGCCAAGGCTGACCTGGAAACTCACTATGTAGGTCAGCATCAAACCTCTTGCATCCTTCTCTGACTCCTAGTGATGGATGATAGTGTGACTATGGGGCTTCTAAGTGTATTTTTCCCTTGACATTTCCATCTATTTCCGAGTCTAATATAATTTTCAAGGCAATAGATTTCTCATTAAAAATAAAATGGCTCCTTGCTTGTTTCTTTAGATCCAATTGTATACAAATGCATGACAGATAACCCAAAAACATTTTTGAGGTATTTCTACACTTTACACACAATAATTTTCACTTGTAGTTTTTTGAAAAGTTAAAATTAAACACTATTCAGAGCAGAGTTTTAAATTATTATTAAAATTATAAGAAGCAGTTCTCAAGTTGACTTGAAAGTTAAATATTGAGAGAACTAGAAAGATGGCTCTGTGGTTAAGAGGACTTACAGGTTTCAGTTCCCAGCACGTACATGGTGGCTCAGAATTACCTGTAACTACAGTTCAAAAGGGGTTCAATGCGCTTTTCTGACATCCTAGGGCTTGTGCACACACGGGGTCCAGACACACACACACACACACACACACACACACACACTCACACAAACACACACACACACTCACGCAAACACACAAACACACACTCACACAAACACATACACACACACACTCACACACACACAAACACACACTCACACAAACACACACACACACTCACACACACACACAAACACACACTCACACAAACACACACACACTCACACACACACAAACACACACTCACACAAACACACACACACTCACACACACACACAAACACACACTCACACAAACACATACACACACACACTCACACACACACAAACACACACTCACACAAACACATACACACACACACTCACACACACACAAACACACACTCACACAAACACACACACACACACAAACACACACTCACACAAACACACACACACACTCACACACACACACAAACACACACTCACATAAACACACACACACTCACACACACACACAAACACACACTCACACAAACACACACACATACTCACACAAACACATGGACATATATATCAGGCACACACATACATACACATAAAATAAAATAAGTAATTATTTTTTAAAGTTAATTCAACCCCAAAATTACTACTATTAAAATCACAAATCTAATTTGTCTTTCTTCAAAACAACTATGGTAGATTTCATGGCACATGCTTGTAATTCCTGCACTTGGGAGGTGAAGGCCAGAGGATCAGAAGTTCAAGGACAGCTGAAAATACCTAAGATTGTCACTCAAACAAAAGCAATTTCCTACCCAGGTATAGTGGCACCCACCAGGAATCCCAGCACTTGAGAGACAGAGGCAGAAGGATTGTTTTAAATCTGAAGCCATCCTGGTCTACACAAAGAGGTGTAAACTCTTGGGGGGGTTACTTAGTAAGACCCTCTCTCTCAAAAAAAAAAAAAAAAAAAAAAAAAAAAAAGAAGGAGAAGGAAGAGGAGGAGAAGCAGCAGCCGCCTTCTCACAGATGTGGGGGTACAATATATAGATCATTTGAAAAGCTGAACTCAGGACCAAGTCAGCAGTGCCAGGCCGTTTCTTCCTTTCTCCCACAGGCTTAACAACCCTGAATAACCAACCCTAGGTCAAGAGGGCTGCCCTGTCCTGTGGGCGGTGACAGAAGCGCAGCTTGCTTCACTTTCTACCTCACTGTGGCAAAGCCTGTCTTCATACTGCCACCCCAGAGCACTTAACAACCGGCATCGCCATTACTTATTTTAGTTAAATAAATAAGTTAGGCAGGCTTCAAGCTGCTCCTTCAATAAATCCAGCGCACAGTCTACTCTCCTCAACCAACCTCAGCAAGAAGAGAATAACTAGCTCTCGGCTTATACTGCAGCTCAGGGAAGAGGGTACAGCAGCGAACACAGTCTCCCTAAATAAAGGCAAATACTTGTGTCATGCCAAGAAGGCAGGAAGGCTTGCCAGAGTCTGTGGGGAGATAACAGTGGGAACTGCTGGTCCATCTGGCTTTCATTCTGCTAACACTCACAGGGGACCAAGAGGGAAGGCAGGCCAGATACACAGACTGGGAGCACGTGGTTTCACAGACAGAGAAAGGAAGAGCAGAAGGGGGAGGGGAAAGGAGAGGCATAGAAAAAAAAGAAAAAAGAAAGGAAGGAAAGCAATAGAAGGGGGAGGGGGAGAAACAGGGAAAAGACAAAAGCAGGGGGAAAGCAGGGAGAAAGGCTGTAGATGCCCTCAGAAGCTTTGCTCCCCCCTAAGGGACACAGGCCCCCTCGCCACACTCACCCCTAAACTAAGAGGGCTCACACCAGTCCCCAGGAAAGAAGGAAATGCACTATAAGACACACAGTGAGCTTCCTCACAAACTTAAGATTTAGGTTTCTGCCCGAGATAATCTTTGCATCTCGATCTCTGCCCAGTTCTAGGAAGATGATGGGACATGCTTTGAACCACACACACATGACATAACGCCTATCCAGAATATCGCGGTCCACACAGCGAGGAGGGCCGCTCTAAAAAGTTTCACCGATATTTCAGGAACAAGAACGAGCAATCAGCCCATGGAAGGACACCACTAGTTCACAGAGGATTAGATTTGTGCTGGCCAGGTATATGTGGACATGTATATATTTAGGATTTTGACATTAGCTAAATTTCTGTGACGGCTGGCTTCTCTGATCAAATGGTTCCATCCCAGAGGCCCTACAAACTACAGCAAAGTGGGACCATATGGAAGTCATTCTGTTCTGCTCCAACAATCCACCCAGGGTAGAAATGGATGAAGAAACCACCGGCCAGGCCTAACCCATGCACACAGAAACATTCTGGAACACAGAGATTTAAGATAAATTTAGACAATATGTTTCAAGTATGCAGAGCTGGGCTGCATTTGTTTGAGATTACTTTTTTCCAATGTTTTTGAAATATATATTCCTGAAACTCTTACAGCAAACAGCACATGAGCAATGACTTAACCAGAGAAACATCTCACCCATTTCAAATTACAGGATACGGTTAAACCAACGCGGGGCTATACTGGTTGTGTGTAACTGTTTCAGTTAATGCCTTTCTTGGTTTTAGTTGCTGGGGGACAATTTGTGATACTTAGTGAAAGAGAGACACAAAAATGGAATAGGGAGAGAAAGGGGGGAGGGAGAAGTGGGAAATGAGAGGAAAGATTGAAAATGAGAACTGCTCAGATCTGGAAAGCAGGTGAGTTCGAGGCCAGCCTGGGGGACAGAGTGAGTTCCAGGACAGGCTCCAAAGCAATACAGAGAAACCCTGTCTCCAAAAACAAGTTAAAACAGAGGCCTGTGCCTCTCTTATAATGATTGGCATGACTTGTAGACAAGACAGTCTTCCCTGTGCACAAACGTTCTTCCTACTTGGCAAATGCGCCACACATATGTACCAAAGACAGCAGAGCAAGGAAAACATTATGGCATATAAAAATGTATTACTGATAGCATTTCAATACGGAATCCATTGCCAGGGCCCTCTAGAGGTGAGGTTTTCCATTTCCCCTTCCTCCCTCCCTCCCTCCCTTTCTTCCTTCCTCCCTTCCTTTCTCTTTTAAATTTGAAAAGGTATATATACATAATCTGGTTTGGCGCTTGTCTCACTTAAAGTTAGTCCACATAGTTCCAGGTGTGTTTTAGAGGAATAAAAGACAGGTATTCTCCACCAGCCTTATTCATTTGCCTAGCTAGAGAAGATCGATGTAAAGTTGTTCCTTCCAGCTAATAGTAGCAAGCACTGCCTTAAGCTAATTACCCTGAGCCTTAATTTTGCCCAAGAGATGAGATCGCAAATTCAGTGAGATTAAGGGTTTAAAATGCTAGCATGAAAAACAAAAATCAATAATAATAATAAGAGAAAAGAAAAAATGCTAGCATGTCCCTACTCATACTGGACACGAATACCCTCCTGTACTTCCCTAAGCAGCCCTGTCTCTTGCAAGTCCATCAAGTCTGAGATATGGCAGTATTGGAGATAGCTATTGCTACTCCTGGGTTTTGTGAAGGATTTTTGTTTGTTTGGAATCTTGCTTTGTTGCTTCCCTCACACAGAATGGCCTGCCCTTTTCTGCATAGTCTTCACTGCCTGTTAGAGTTCATACACATCCCCTTACAGTTGTCCTTAACTGCCCATGCACCAGCCACATCACA